TTCAGAAACAAGACCATTTCATAGAAACTCATGGGAATTTTTATTTTTTATTTTTTTTTTTATTTTATTTTTTATTTTTAACAGAAGATTCTATAATGATTAATACATTGGATTATTGCGTGTTTAGATGGTTTGTCAGGCTGTCAGAATCACCCAACGCAATAAATAATCATACTATTTTCTCCACGTAATCTATATAATGAGACGTGACATTTTATCATCGAACTATTTTAATTACAATCCGTGCTTGTTTGGTAGGATTTTTTGGGGGAAGAATTGATTTTGAATAGTGATATGATGAGAAATGTATGGTTGAAAAAAAGATAAAATTATTGATGTGATGAAAAATATTATTTTATTGAAGAATGTATGGTTGAAAATGAGAATTGATTTACTGTAGAATTGGAGAATTCGTACCAAACGGGGCCTCAATTTCTTTATCAAATCATCGACTACTACTACGAATTATGTTACTGAATCCGTTACGATACTTCTAAAAAAGTGGCAATAAGAATCTTGCCAGTATAATTTACTTCACTATAGAATTCTAGCACTGTTTCATTTGGATTAAAATTCAATTAAAATTTTAAATCAAAATTAATAATTAAAAGATTAATCACATATTTCATGAAAAAATTTCTGATTTGTATGCTTGCTGGTTATGGTTTTTATTTATTTATTTATTATTATTATTTAAAGTTTAACCCTTCCTTTCGAATGAGATTTGAACCTAGGTCACTATCCTAATAAAATTTTGCTCTTATCACTTCAGTTTGACTTTAATCTCATATGCTTGTTGGTTTCAATTTTAAATATGAAGCCAGAGGAATGCATGGTGCAAAATTAAAGTTAGGAGGCATTTTCTCTGATTTTTTAATTCAATTACAATATTGTATTGAGTTCATACGGTAGTAATTTCAAATTTAAGGGACCGTTTGATTCTCATTATTGAAGAATGAGAATGAAAAATATAGTCGTTATTGGGCCCCACACAAAAGTTAGAAATTCAAAACTGATGGCTTGATGTGATAGATAACGATCATATTTTTCATTTTTATGGATGAAAAATGAGAAACAAACAGGAGCTAAATAATAATAATATTATTTTATTATTAATAAACCATATTATGGTCCTGTTTGGGAGGAATTAAATTTTTCTACAGTAAATCAATTCTCATTTTCAACCACACATTCTTCAATAAAATAATATTTTCCATCACATCAATAATTTTTTCTTCTTTTTCAACCACACATTTCCCATCATATCACTATTCAAAATCAATTCTT